CAAATGCAGCAGGACACTTCAGTACTTGTAAACTGTGAGGTTTCTGGAGTGAGTGGGAATACTGAGTAATTCCTTGCATCTGATGTTACTGTTATATACTTCCTCTTTACATGCATGTAGTTTTAAAAGTAAGGTACTGGGCCTCAGTAAAAAGGGAATTTCTGCTTTTCTGGTTGTCATCTCTCTGTCTTTTATAGTATAGTCTCTCTCAGAGGTAAGTGCTTGTGCCTATGGATCCAAACCTGCAGCTTCTCTGATAATTTTGCCGTTATTGTCAGTGGAACAGGTCAGTCTATACTCATGGAAAAGCTTGGGGATTGTTCTTTACTGAAATTTAGGTCTTGAGGACTCTTCCCAGTTTCCATTTTAAGCTCAAATTTTGACGTTTTCTTGTTTTTCAAAATTTTGTCTTTATTGTGCTTATTTTTGGCTTTGCTGGGATAATAGTTTGGCAAGATTTGAAGGAAAAGGAAGGTGTGAATATAAAAATGAAAAATAAACAAAGAAGAACAGTAGATATTCAAACATCCTGAATAGTATGTTGTTTTAAAACATGATAGTGGTTTTAGTGTACTGGTTACTAATTACAGTCTTTGTGATCAGAAGTAATAACTGAAGGTATAAAATGAGAGACAGGGAAGAAAAGACCTGCCAGGTTTATGCTGCTAAAATGCCCTGAGAGGAAGTGTTTTGTTTTGGTCTTGGCTAACCACACAACTACATTTGGCTATTAGACAGAGGGAAGAAGCAGACAGCTTTTTCTTATTAGGTAATTCTTGAAATGAACTTACCACCTGAATAATGGGAAATAATTGTAAAAAACATGACCTTTTTCTAGCTAGCAACAACATCTACTTCACATTTTGTCAGCTTGGATCTATTGTATGCTACTTTAGACTAAAGATACAGCCATGCACCGTGTTACTCAGCTTTGACATCTAGGCAAATTAGTTAGAAAAGCAGCTTTTGGCAGCCACTGCCTGCATATTGGTAGCAGTCTTTGATTCAGAGCAGTGAGCTTTGATTCTGTCACTGTTAGAGCACAGTGTGCATCATGGGTAAATACAGTGTTAGCTGCACTGCGGGGATGACCCTTATCTCACTGCCCTGCTGATGAAGCCAACAGGTCCTACTTGCGTGCACATATGTCATTTCAGCTGATGTGTTTTAATTTAAAAGTGTTGCAGTGTGTGGCTTAGCTGTTGCAGGATGTCTAGAGCCATACATACACAGAAGAAAATGCCTGAATCCACCTATGTTTGGTGTTTAGCACTGGTTTATAGTCATTAGAAAAAGTAAAATTAATCTGATTTTCACCAGTAGTTTTACATATTCATTGAGATATGTTAAAAATACTGTACTCAGTCTGTTTCTGTTTTTCTGTAAGCCTTTTCTTCTTCCCTATTGTTCCTTGATACAGTGGTGTTTCGGTTTTTTTTTTTAACAGTATTACAAGTTGAGGTTTATGCAGGAAGAAACTTCCAGTGTCGATTTCTGATAAAATATTGATTCAGTCAGTGCTGGCCACTCTTTCAAAAAAGTAATTTAGATGTACAAAGAAACAAAGTTTTTTCCATGGCTCTGTTTTAAAGTTTTGTTAATGCAAAGTCATAGTAATAGTACTAATTATTTTTAAATATTTGATTTCCATTTTTACTTATTAGCTGCTCCATTCTCGGCTTTGTAAAATACTGGCAAGCAACCTTTCTCTTCTTCTCGCTTGGCAGATAATTAATGTCTATTTTCTGTTGAAGCAGGAGTATGATAAAACAATCAGAGTTTTAAAAATGAAAGGTTAATTTTGTCTGTTTTGCATTCTCCTAATATTACACAGTTGGAATACTCGACATATTGCCGGTCTCCCTAGTAATACACCATTGCACACTGCAGGGAGGTGAACCAACTTCATCCACTAGACTTTTTATTTTTAAGCACTGAAATTATGAGTAATTCTACGGGGCATGTATAGTAGGTGGCAGATGCCTCAAAACAGAGACCTTTGCTAATAAGTTCTTTCTAATTCCAGTTGGGACTGGGTCAAGTGTTATATTGTCCATTTTCACAGTGTACTTAATGTACTTAATTTCTCACCCATCTGAGAAAGACCGTGTGTATAGGGTGGCTACTGGAAGTGAAGTAGTGCTAGAGAGGTGTCTGACTACTCCCCTAGTCATAGGGGACTTACTCTAATTCTTGTTGCAAGCCTGGAGCAGAATCCCTGACGCTTTTGTGTATTGGCATTTTTAATAAGTGGATAGATAAAAATCACCCTTGTAACCCTGTAGTGACTGGCTCATGTTCTGAGTCTTATTTGAAGCAGAGGCACCCTTTTTAGCATAAAGTCTTTCAAAACAGACACAGGCAGGATGACTCTCAATTCCACACTCCTGTTCCACGATGCTCTGTGTGCACTTCTCCATAGTGGAGCAATACATCTTGCCATCCTTAAAGCTTCACATAAGCCATATCTGTTGAAATAGTTTTCTTTTCCAAACATATGTAAAGTAGTAAGAAGTAGAAAGCAAGCTGCTTTTCTTTGTCATTGGAATTTCATTTTTATGAAATAACTTGTATGAAGCTTCAGCTGCTCTTAACAGACAAGGAAGAGCTGAACGGGAGAAAGCCTTCAAATATGCAGTAGTGACTGTGCATGCTTGTTTGCTTTAAAGGGCTGTCATACTGTTGTGCAGGAGGCTGCCTGTTGTAAAAGATAATTACTTCCCTGCTTCAAAGGTCAGATGTGATGGCAGGGAATAGGCCTATGAGCAAAATGAGATCAAGCATTACAGTCAGTCAAGGATCATATTTATGTCTGGAAAAAGCACGAAAGACAAACTAAAAATAAAGAATAAACCCCTAACTTTAATCAGAGCCTCAGGCAGACCCTTTTTGAATTTTTTCTGGTTAGGGCAGTACCCTTTTTGTTGATGAAAAGGTTAAGTGATCCATTGAAGCTGTCATTATTAAAATGTCAACATGAGATTATAATCAATGTGGAAGGGTTATTAAATAGTTCACAATTTAAGGGCAAGGAAGGCAAAAAAAGTCGCAGAACCTAAGAAGGCGGAAATAGTGATAATTCCTGGCTTCCTGTTAAAAACAAATTTAGAATACTTGTATGAAAAGTACTTACAAATAAGCTTGTTATTAGGAACCTATGATGTACAAAATAGTGTGGCCTCACACTTAGCAGAACAGAGAAACATATTTTAGTATTGAAAGAGAGAATGGGAAGCAGTTTAGTATCATAGTAATTTCTTTAATGGATAATTTAGAGAGAAGGATTTGTTTGGTTTTAATGGGTGGTTACACAGTTTCAATGTCACTAGCAAAACTCTGGATAATTTATCATTTTTAAGTTGAAAGCCAGCTGTATCACAGAGGGAAAGGGATTAGTTTCCTGTCAACTTCCTTTTTGGAAAAAGTGATGTGTGCACACTGAAAATACTTCCAGCTTGGGTAAAGTATGTTTGAAAATGCCTTTCTGGTAGAGTCATATTTTGGTGGGCAAAGAAAGAGGACCTGCTTTCAGTTTTACATGTTTATAGAAATATTTTGAGAAATCTAAGGTGCTTTTTTCTCCTTCACTTTAAAAGTACATACTGTTCAAGCTAGGAGAATTTTGCCAGCGTTAACCTTGATCTCTTCTGGCACTGCGGTCCAGTGGAAAACGTTCTTTCAGAAATCGCTCTGTACTTTGAACTGTTGAAGGCACTGCTGTGGTATGTGTGTGCAGCAAGGGTCACAGCATTTCGTTTCTGAGAGACAACAGGAGGGCTTTCTTTTTATATTCGTATACATGTGAATGAAAGCAAAATAAGAAATACAGGGCGTGGTGGGAACGTGGAATTTTACTCCTTTAGAGTTTGGATGTGCCTGTTCCTAAAACAAAAGGTAGGGGAAGTGCTGCAAATGCTTATATTCATGCATGTGTAGAGTGTTTATGAAGTCTTTCGAGTGATTAAAAAAAAAAAAAGAGTAAAATTTTGTTTTTCTATCAGTGCTCTGTTTCCAGTGGATGAGGCAGATATTAAACATTTGTGTGAAACATATGAAAAAGACATACTGTGGAAGAGTGAAAGTGCATACACTATTGCAATGTGAGAATGCCCCACTGTAAATATAAAACAAATTGCTACTAGTCATCAGTACTTCAGGATAAAGGTTGACTAGGAATTAGTTTTAAAATGTTTCCTATTGTATACACCTACTTGAATACAAACGTTTTTTCCTTTCCTTTATTCCTTAGCAATAACAGCATTCGTGTGGAAACAAAGCATTTCATTTGCAGATAGCTCCTATTGTGTTTTCCCTACCTGAAACTATTTTGTTTTCATTAGCCAGAAACACCATCCCTTGGGATGCTTTACTACAAAGTGTGCCAAAAGTATCCCATGGGAGCAGTCTTTCCCTAACAGAGAAATAAATGAGATTTCTCCTGTAGGTACTTTTTCCCAACTTCAGTTTCTAGAAACACAGTAGCTCACAAGATCCATTAAATCCCAAATCTCCTTTGAGTAACATGAAAGTAATCCTGTTATGTCAAACTGTAATATATCAGTGAGAAATTATTGCTTTTATTTGTCAAAGCAAGGAAAGACACAAATAAGCATCTGTCATTTTGAAGTAGAACAACTTGGAAATGAGCAGTCTCACAAGAAATGAAAAATTTTCATTTATTTTACGCAGTAGTTGCTGAGTGACTTACTCAGGATGTTAGTAGTAATTACTATATGAAGTTAAATAATGCTTGAAATCGTCATTCTCCTGCTCGACTTATGCTCTAAAGATGACCTCTGCAACAGGAATAGATTGCTTAGATTACAGTGAAAACCATGGTGTTTGACATGAAAGCCACATTACCCTGTACTAACTGCATCTGAATTTGAACAAAATGTGCTGGATGTCTACATAAAATGATACTAAGCAAAACTATGCTGTTTGCTGGGAATTTTGGTATACAGTGCTCACCTGAGTATTTTCCTGTCTTTTCTGTCTAGTGTTGAGGGTGAAGCTCCAAGCAGTGAAACTGGCACATCTTTGGATAGCCCATCTACTTACCATCAAGGACCTATAACACACAGTTCAGCTATAAGTCCAGACCATTACGATCATTCTGCTTACGGGCTGTATTCTGTCTCTCCTGGACAACAAAGATCTCGGAGGCCGAAACTTCAGCACTCAACATCCATACTGCGAAAACAAGCAGAGGAAGAAGCTATTAAAAGGTCAAGATCACTTTCTGAGAGCTATGAACTCTCTTCAGACCTACAAGATAAGCAGGTATTTGAGCTTTGTTACCCAATTTATGACAATGGCAACATATCTGTAAGCTGGTAAAAAGTCTTTTCTAGCATCACTTCAGTTGTGATGCTGAAAATACCTTTTTTTCCTGTGACCAACTTAGTTCAGAATAGTCACACGTCAGCATTTCTGAGGTTTTTGACTCTTTTTTTTTTTTTTTCTGTGTTGTGTCATCCCTGTGTCCCATACATCTTCACCTCTTCCTGAATAAACACATAAAAGATATGTTAACAGCGGTAAAAGTAAAAACAGTTCTACTAGAAATTGTCATTTCATATATTAGAATGTACTAATGAAAAATATTTTTCTAAGAAAATGAGTCATTTTGAAACCTGGATATCTCTGTTGTTGCTGAATAAAGGATGAACTTGTTGCAACTGATATTCTCTCATATCTGTGGGACTAATTCAAGCTTAATTGGTTTTACTCAACTAGGCAAAACTCCCATATGCTTTACAAAGAGCTGTATGGAAGCTGTGTAGATGTTCAAAGTCTTTGTCCCTAAAAAGGCACTTCTGTAAGACAGTCAGCCTCAGCCATCCCTTTTAAGCTTTATTCTGAATGTAGTCCTATTTGAAAGATGTTTATTGCCATATAAGTTCATATTTATAATTTGAAAATGATGCTGTAGTAGCGTAAGCTATGAAAATATGCAGGGTGCACTGGATTTCACCTGATAGATGAGCAGTAGCCAATAAATCAATGGTTTTTTGGTTGTGGGGTTTTTTTTTTGTTAGAGATCTTTCTTGCCACAGAAAATTTTGTTTACTGTGAATCATTGTGGTATATTGCATAGTTACTCCAACTTGTATGTCAACACGGCAAAAGTGAAAGCAGGCAAAATTCCGCAGACAGGAAGCAAGCTACTCCTGCCTTTGGACCACACATTAATAGTTGGTGAAATTTATAGGGGCTAAGTCTCACTTGCCATCTGTTTGTTGTTCTGAAATTTCAGGTTGGATTATCATAGTATTGTTCCAGAGAGACCTGGAAGAACAGAGCTTGAACTCTGAGTTAAAGTTCAAGGCAGTATTTGGGATAGCAAGTATGAGTTTAGTTTAGCCTTTACTCTTACCAAATTCTATATTGGAGTGGGGACATACCAAGTTCCTGATTCTTGATCTAGATTATGCCAGCTCTGCTATTAAATTGGACCTCCTTGTGAGATAAAAATGTTACTTCCTTTTCCACCCTTGGCAGTCATTTTTGCTAGATGTTTCATAAGGGATTGATGTGGAATGTTAAGCTTACTAAAGAGGTCTCTTGCACTGCAGATATCCCACAGAGCCTAATTCCATCTGTCCTTTTATGTCGGTTTGATAGAGAATGAGGACTGCAGATGTTATTTTGTATTTGTTTAGGGAGTCCTACACAACAAAAAGTGACAATGATACTTAAAGGAAGCTTGATAGTGAAGAGTTGCTTACTGCTCTTGAAAAGCTGTCATTGAAATCTCAGAAGATACTTAAAAACTACTTAGGAGAATGTCCAAGGCTTCACCTGAAGGCAATATGCATTAAATATGCATTGAAAAGGTGCATTAAATGTGCATTAAAATTTATTAGGAATATCAGTCACAAGTCTAGTAAATCATCTAGGCAAATTCCAAAATACTTTTGATTAAAATTCCCACCAAAACCCCCTAATTTATGATTATCAATGATGATGTCATTTTCTGCGTAAACCTGAAGGACAACAGCCTGTTTGCAAGAATGAAGTCCAGATAATTTCCTTTATAGAATACTAATTTTTGTTTTATTCTTTCACACCAGCTATGCCTGGTTTGTTTTCTTTAGGTTTGACATTTAATGTTGAGAGGACAACTAAATGAACAATTCATTTGTTTTGAGATTAGTCCAGCAAAATAATCTCTTACAATTTATTTAAACACACGTGACCTAATGTATACTACAGATAGAAATAGTAGCAAATGTGTGGCAGCAGTGGCACACTGTTCTTAATATTTTTTTTTAATCTTCCGAATGCCTTACAAGTAACCTTATAGCTTCTGTGACATGTGCAAATGAGGAGACAATATAACCCCTATTTGGGGGTGAAAGGCTAGACAATTTTTTTTAAGACAAACTACAGAAAATTATGCAGGGATTTACAGATTCCTAGCTGAGAGATCAGTCACAGCTTTTTGAGCTTAGTTAAAAGAAGTTTCAAGATACAGTCAAAAGAACAATTCCTTAGCAGTAATCCTGATCTGAGCCCATCTGAGAAGTTGGCCTCCTCAGTTATGCCAATAACTGTGCATAATATTTTTTGCATCTAGAATTAAAAAAAATAAGAAAAAATACTGATTCACATTTAAAAACACCGAGCCAAAAAGGAAGGGGAGTGGAAGCTGCTGAAGCAGGCAATAGCACTGAAAGAAATACATCAACTTCTCCCACATGGTAGACGTAATGGACTAGAAAATATTTTTTAGTAGCATTTAGTTCCTTCCATAGAAGGGGGATGAAGCCCCTCTGCACATCAATATCTGAACTTAATAATTACTTGGAGAGATCTCCAAAGTGTGAGGAGGAGAGATTGTGTGTGCACGTGCATGTAACATAAGTAATTAAAACATGATGTCTAATGAAAAAGGGTACCTGGATTTGCAAGTGAGGAGAAGTGATTTTTGAATCACTGGTGTATTATAAAAATTGCATGGACTTATACAGAAATGCTGCCAGAAAAATGGTGGGTTTCATTGTAGTACTAAACATTGATTTGTGATGTATGTTTTGTGTTTGTGAATAATATGGATCCAGCAAAGACTGATAAGAACAGAAATTAAATATAGGGGAAAAATTGAAATAAAACTAGTTATTCATCTTGTTCAGTGTATTTTAAATAGGTGGTGCTTTCCATGTTTTGGAAGGAAAGGTTTGAAAATATCTAATGAGTATTCCAAAGTATTGACTAAATGTCTAATGACTAAAGTCATTCTCACTAGGTTAAATTGATAGTATTTATAATGTATTTATTTTGCATATTCATTCTGTTAATTGGAAACACTGGCAATCTTGAGTGTAATTACAAGAATGAGAATAGATTTTAATTTGTATTTAGAAAGTCTGAAATACATTCTTGGTTTGAGGAAGACTGTGTATGTGGATATTGTATCACAGAAACCTCTCTGGAAGCACACAGCCTGGGTGAAACAGTGCTACCTGGTTTTTATTCAGGTAAAAAGCAATGCATGCCTGGAAAGGTGGTGGCTGCTTTTAGAATTTACTCTCAAAATATGGCAATTTGCATTATACTTGGATTTTACTTCTCTATGGTTGTCCCTACAGAGAAAGAATGACTTCATTATGCTGCATTATGGTGCTGTCTTGTCTGCTTGACATGGGCACACCAATGCTAATGTGTGAAAAACAAAATTTAAACACACACTCACACACACAAATTACCAACACCTTAATTTTATATGACAGTATTCACATAGTCATATTTTTGTCTGTATGTTTATGGTGGAACTTGCAAATGACTATTTGATTCACTACTTGTGCCGTTGTTAGTCTGGAGCTTTTGAGTTTTTACTTTCAGGAACAGTATACGCTTTGAAAAATTTCTGAAAATTAAAGTTGTTGAAAGAAATTTTTTTTTGTTATACTTTAACCTTGTTCTAACCTGCATCAAGTTACAAAGTAATTGTGTTTACCCTTTCACAGGTGGAAATGCTAGAACGGAAATATGGAGGCCGTCTCATAACTAGACATGCTGCTCGTACCATACAAACAGCTTTTCGCCAGTATCAGATGAACAAAAATTTTGAGCGTCTTAGAAGTTCTATGTCTGAAAATCGTATGTCAAGACGCATTGTACTGTCCAATATGAGAATGCAGTTTTCCTTTGAAGGACCTGAGAAAGTCCACAGCTCTTACTTTGAAGGAAAACAAGTTTCTGTTACAAATGATGGGTCAAAGCTGGGATCCCTGGTACAGTCTGAATGTGGTGACCTTGGAGAGTCAGCTACAATGAAGTCTCCAGCAGCATCTACTGATTTTGCTGATGCTATAACAGAACTGGAGGATGCTTTTTCTAGGCAAGTGAAATCCCTTGCAGAGTCCATTGATGATGCACTGAATTGCCGTAGTCTACATTCTGATGAAGTCCAGACTCCGGATCAAGTTAGAAGTCGTGAAATGGAAAGGGATAGTTGTGCTCAGACTAAACCAGCAATTCACAATGTGGATCACAGGAAGCTTGATGAGATGACAGCGTCATACAGTGATGTTACGTTATATATTGATGAGGAAGAGTTATCTCCACCCCTTCCACTTTCCCAGTCAGTAGACAGACCGTCCAGCACAGAATCTGATTTGAGGCTCCGGTCTGTAAACTCTTCTCAAGAGTACTGGTCCATGACCCACAAAGATGATAAGATAGACACTGATACGAGCTGCAGGAGTACCCCGTCACTGGAATGTCAGGAACCGAGGATGAGAATGGATCATCTACCATTGCTAACTATAGAGCCACCCAGTGACAGTTCAGTAGACTTGAGTGATCGGTCAGAGAGAGGTTCATTAAAGAGACAAAATGCATATGACCGAGGGATCACTAGTCAACAAGGAAGCCCGAAACACATCCCTCACAGTATTCCTGCCAAGATTATATCCCGAGAGGAACAAGAGGCAAGACATAGGGGTAGGCCTATAGATAGTCATTTAGCTATCAATGGCACAGCAAACAGGCAAAGCAAATCAGAGTCTGATTATTCTGATGGAGACAATGACAGCATCAACAGCACTTCCAACTCTAATGATACAATAAATTGCAGCTCAGAATCTTCTTCTAGAGACAGCCTAAGGGAGCAAACCTTGAGCAAACAAACGTACCACAAAGAAACTCGCAACAGCTGGGATTCCCCTGCCTTCAGTAACGATGTTATCAGGAAACGCCATTATAGGATTGGACTGAACCTTTTTAACAAGTACGTACAGCATTTCCTCCTTTTCCCTCTGTGTTTGTTAGAAACATAGCCAGTGAACCAGGAATATTTTTCTTGTATCAAAGACTGGTGTCTGATACTGACTTTTCAGTGAAAAAATAAGCTGCTCGTGGTGACTGTTCATGTTAGAGTACTTACAAGTTGACGTCTTCATAGTTAAACAGCTTCAGGGGAGAAGAAAAAATATAATTATATGTATATATATGGTAGTAAACTATTGAAGAGGATGGATCGGATTCCTTTCTTGTTGAAAAATACGGTGGCCTAATCCTGATCCAATTTTTGGTGTTATAACAAATTCACATTTCTTCCTGCCCTAATCATGTAGGTATAGGAAAACTTGGCATATGGGAACTAGAAATAACAAGCAGTGTAAGATGAGTTTCCTGTTTAACACAGGCAGGGCCTGAAATTTGTTCAGTAGATCTCATCAAAACTTTGATACTAAAAAACAATGCACTGAATATTTTTGTGCTAAATAATTATTTATTATTTATATTTTTTTTTTATTTCTGCCTATGACTGTTAATTTTCCCATGTGTGGAGTTGTTTAAAACTTCTATAAAATAACTTTCTCAAGTTTCTTTGTTTTACTGAAATACTTTCTTTGGACACTCCCATGTGACTGTAGAAAACCATGAATATTGCGATAGAAGGTAACAATATACTGCTTAAACTCTGTATTCACGTTACTGGAGTTACACAGATCTCATTAGAACTTCATGTTGTATAAGTTTTTGAAATTTTGTACAGAGTACTTCAGGTTTTCTCTATGAAAATTTTGTAGCTTCTGAAGAGCTGATAAATATTTCAGTGTGCTGCCATAGACGTTGCTTCACAGTCTCCTACAGCTTGAATGAGTTCAGCCCTCCTTTCCAGCTAGCAGTGCTGTGATCTGTTTTGTTTGGATTAATAGATCAGTGGTTCATCATATAATAGTATGTTGTAACATTGTAGATAATTAAAGCTTTTTTATGCCATCACGTGAAGCTGTGCATTACAATATTAAGTATGGATTGGTCAGCTTTGGCTGTAAAAACTTTCAGGTTTGTTCTTTTATCTTTGCAGAAAGTTAGGCCTTTAGAGAAGCTTTTAACCAATTGGAAGTATGTAAGTCATAGGATCTCTGCAGCTTTTGCTGCTTATGATAGTAGACTGGGTAGGAAGGTGTATCAATTTGCTTTTTTTAGAAGGTTTGAAAACATTGACATCCTTGGTGTTAGGGATGGGGAGGAAGGTGCTAGTACCGTTTGGCTGACATTTGAAAGACTTGGTGTTTGCTTGGTTTTTTGCACGGGAATTAAACCTTAAGCAGTGAACGATCAGTGAACTTCAGGCTTGGTAATACAGTCTTTTGAGTCAATTGCAGAAGGGTGTAAGAAAAAAGGTGAATGGAAAAAGTGCTCAAGCAGCATGCAGAGATGAATGAGAGCATTGGAAATTGTCAGATGCTTCTCGTCACATGCTGTATCAGTAGGAGGCTGAAAGTGAAAAATAAACATTGGGAATAGAGAAGAATAGAGACTGTTATTTGAAACACATCTAAGTGATCTTGCTGCATGGACTTGAACAGAAATAAACCTTTTTTATATATTGGCTGGTTGTAAAATTACTTGCAGTTTCTTAGCAGTGAGTTCTAAAAGATAGCGCTGTGCAGAACTCCAGGCAGCACCTCTGTGTGTGATCTTTTGCTCTGTGTGATTGTTTCATTCCCCCACTGCATTTTATCTCCAGTATTGATACAAAACTGAAGATTCTCATTACCTTCTGCCAAGTCACTGATTCTATTGATAGCTCAGACAGTTCCCAAGTATCCCAAGTATCTTGGTTTTGATTATGGCTCTTCAAGCCCACAGATTGTGACATTTCATTAATAGCCTTATTTCCCCTCTGTGCAATGTCAGGTATTGAACCATCATAGAATGTGATGGTGCATGAATCTGTAAACTCTTTTGAAAGGGAGCTGGGAAACTTCCAAAGCTTTAGTCTTTAAAAAGTTCAGAAGGAGACTCTTAAGAGTGTGTCAGTGGGCTTGCAAGCTGCATTTTGTGAGGTAAGTGAAGGGATAGGGATTGTGTTCAGGCACTTGCCAGGATTTACAGGTGATGATTTCTTCAAGATGAAGACTCCTTTTTCCTTTTATATGTGTGCTGTTACGGGTGCATTAGTTTCAGTTAACTTCTAAGCATTACGCTCGTTGTTCTCAGCACATGAAGTATGTCACAGCATCTTGTGTGTCCAGATGTTTTTTGAAAAGCAAGTGACATTCTAGATGTCATTTGCCTTCGCAAAGGCTGCTGCTATTTCACATGCAGAACAGCATAAAGGAGGATTGCCCAACCTGGTTAGACATGGGCCAGAAAAGGGGTCTGCAGGTCAGATGGACTTTCTGCAAATCAGTCCTGTCTTCACAGTTTCTCTCTCATGACATGGCAAAAATGCAACTGCTCAGCATCTCATGTGAGCAAGGGTCTGCCTATGCATTCAGTCCCACGTTGCAAACTGCTTGCGCTTCCTATCGTGTGACCAGATGTACACCCGTGATGTGATGGGATACATTTTTTAGTCTACTCTCCAGTGTTCAAGTCAATGCAGCAGAATCACTTAGATGTCTTTTGATCATTTGATCTTTCATGACACATTTATGATCATAAAATGAGGGAGTAGTACAAGTCTTGGCAGCGGGCTCCTGAGAGGACGTGCTCCACCCATACGGAAGGACTGTGTGTAGAATTGAAAGAAGTGGCTTTGAAGTTACCTATTGCAAGAAGTGAAGTTTCTTCCAAATGTCTGCATCTACCATAGGAAATATTACAAATGTCCTTTACAAGAAGTTCACGTTAATTTCATTGCATCTTTGAAATCCTGCTTGCAAATTAAGATCCCAAACCTTAATTAACAGATAATCATGTAATTTCTTTCTGGTGCATGAAGCTTGGCTGAAATGCAAGAGTTTAGAACCTTGAAGAAGTGCATGAATTGTAGTAGAGTAAATACTTCTGCTTTGTTCACTAGGAGTGTTGAAAGAACGAAGTTTTAAAAAGCATGGAAAGTCACTATCCTCACAGTTGAAATTTCAACAGATGCTTCATAATTTTTCTGGCTTTCCTGTAACAGTAATAATTTTCAGAAGCCAAAGTGCAGTTTGCTTACCAGAGGCCTTTTATTAGAATAGCCAGTTATGGGTGGAGTAGAAGTTAAGCACAACTGATAGTCTAGTTCACTTAATCACCATTATATGCAAAACATTAGTAGCACAAAGGTCCTTGGAGAATGGAGACTACACAGGACAGTAGAGACAAAACTGTAGGTAATTGAAAACCATTTTTCTAGGAGTTTTATCTCTTGATCATAGAATTTTTTTAAAACTAGGTACTCAATTTGGAACCTAATTGTTGATTATAGTACTACACTTTTTTAAAGATGTTTTGCGGTATCCACTATACTAGAACATAAAGTATCACGCAAATGGAATGATTTCTGCCAAATAAATTGTAACTAAGTAAGAGCTTCTGTACATTTTCCTATTTTTGAATGGCAGTAGTGATATCACCCTGTCAATAGGCTGTCAGATCGTGTGTTACCATTCATTGCCCTCTTAAAGGAAGGACTGCAGGTGCATGCGCAGAGTGCAGAGGCTCCCAGGGAAGCTTGGTGAGGCCAGCTGTGTTGAATTAGGCATTTTCTTCACTGTAGTTTGAAAGGGTTGTAGTCTGGGAGAAAGTACATTAGAAACCATTCCTCCCTTATAGGCAGAAGGAAAACACTACCTAGAAAGGTTTCTTTTGCAGGCCCCAAACCCTGCCAATGCAAATCCAGCCTTTGAGACTGGTTTGCTTATAAACAAGGCTTCAAGAGGGCTTTTGACTGCTGCTTAAAAAAAAAAAGGGGGGGGAGGGGGGGAGTAAAAAGGGCTGTGATTTTATTCTCATGTTTGTTTTGACTGCAGACTGGAAATACCAGGTTTACCAGTTATTGCAGCCCAATCTGGTAGGATTTTCAGGTTCCATTCTGCTACCGGTGCACTGATGGTTCTAACAGATTAAATACGACTGAATGGTTTAACCTCAGTAGTCTGAGGAAACCTGTCCTGCCCTTGGGTCAACTTTGCAGTTGGTAGTAGCAAACTGTAATTCTGTGCAAGAGCTGTGCGTGTATAGGAAGAAGTATATTGCCAGATTCCCTCCTCTTGTGCCACCATGATGGTGTCAGTAACTGGCTCCTTGCTGAGTATTTGTGGCTACCAGGTATGTTTGTTGATAACACAGCCCTCAATTACTGTCTCCTCAAACTGCAGTGACACGCCCAACTGGGCCATGTCAAACAGAGTACCCTGTAGTGATTATTCAGCATTCTCTTGGGCAGGGAGTACAAACGCTTTCTGTATTAATGAAGTCTGTTCAACAAAACTTGGACATTAGAGTGGTTTGAAAATTTGATGTGACTGTACCTAGTATTATAAAATATGGGAGATAAAAGTTTGTGTTTCTCAGACTCAGTTTTTTAATCTAGCAGAGACTAGAGTCATATTTACTATCTCCTTTGGGTTACCAGATATTGGAAGATGCTGTTAAATGTCCTCTCATCTGGCCGATGTTCCTGTGGCATTGTGATTTCTTGCCATGGGAGCCAGTCTTGCTGGTACTGGTGCCAATTTCTGACATTGCTGGTGAAGAGAGACTGCAAAGTACAGCTCATGGGCCATTTGCACCATGCTGCTCTGCTTTTTATGCTGCGGCATAATTTTGTTGAGGGCTCTTTCTGTGTAGTGTTTTGTTGAAGGTTTTACAGCCTACCTTTGCATGTACACCTTGGAGGTAAATGAACATAAGACCACTTTACATTGCTAGAACAGAGGCTAGGCTATAAATATTTTTACAATATGTTTTCCTAGATGCCTTTCACCACCGCCACCACCACCCTTTTTTGTCCTCTTTTGCTTTCTGGAAAGAGTAGTGACAGATGGAAGACTGTTCCCCATG